AGTGGGGGGACTGGCAGGTATACTCATTTCATGCTAAAGACCGCGCCTATTCATTACCCAGTGGACCCAAAGTACAAAGTGTTGGTTTTTAGCACCAGGAACAGCTGTTTCTCCTAATCAACACTGGGTCCACCTCCTGCTACACCAAACTAAATTAAAGGTAAAGACAGCTCTGCAACTAACAACAATTTTAACATCCCCAAAGTGCAATGCACAAAATCCAACCACAACATGACAAAAATAAAAAAATTAAAATAAAGCTGTATGGGAAGAAGAAACAAAAAAAAAACAGCATACTATAAAGAAAACACCACATCATGTATAAATGTGTGTATATTGGATCTATCCCAAATAAGAGGATATACAAATTATAAAAATAAATATGCCTCAGATCAATAACAAAGTCTCTGTCCTATCCTCACCATCCCAGATATAATAAAGGCAAAAAAGGCAAATAAGGCGAAGGAATGGGCAGAGAAACAGAGATTAATCAAAAAAGATCAGCACCAAATAAACGTATATATTCAAAAAGCTGGTAAAACACAATCACATCAGAGAGGGACGGGATGAAGCCATGGCTGGGCAAGGAATTCACTCATAAAAATGGGTAAGATCCCATTCAAAATTCAAACCATTAGGAATACGTGTACGCAAATAGAAAATCCAAAAGACTTCACGTTTGCACAGCAATCTAAAGCCATCTTCACCCCTAGGAGAGCTGTCCACCCTCTCAGTTCCCACTAAGGTCAACTCCATGAGCACTGTTAAAACGATTAGCGACTTTGGTAGAATGATTCTTTTGTATGTCATAAACATGAACATGGAGGCGATCTTGTAGCCTCCTAGTTGTCCTACCAACATATTGTACTTGACAGCTTCTACAGGTGATCAGATATATTAGATGTTTAGTTTTACAGTTGATAAAGTTCTTAATCCTGTAAATCTAACTAACTGCGGAGCTAAATTCCTCCCCTTTCTTAATACAAGAGCAACAGGAACAGCTGTCTATACCACACCTATAGTTACCCTTAAAACTCAGCCATGTTCTTTGAGTTTTTCTAGAGGAGAAATAGCTAGAGGACAGAGTATTGCCCAGAGTTTGTGCACGTCGGGAAACAATTTTAGTACCATGGGACAATATTTGTGCAAATATATCATCACTCAGAAATATGGGAAGATAGTGCTCAGTAATCCTTTTAATCCTCCCAAACTCTTGGCTGAAAGCAGTGGAGAAAACCAGTGGTCAACTGTACATCAGGAGTAGAGCAATAGTCAAATATAGAATAGAAATATATATCATAACTACCAATGAGGCAAATCAAACGTCCAAAATAGAAGGATTTATAATGCCCCCCAGCAGTAAGAACACTGTACCTGTCCCATTATGTAAAGTCCCTTTGAGGAGGACTGATATTCTTGCATCCAAAATCCACAAAATATCTTCTAGATATTAACAATAAAAAAGTACTGCGAAACAATAAAGAATAAAAGGGTTAAGAGCAAAACCGAAGTCCCATATTATACCAAGCCTCCAAAATAAAACAAACTGCTCATTAGTATTTATATTTGACTAGTAGCAAGCTAGGAACCGATTGAAGTTGCGGAGCTGTGAAGGAAACTGCAGACATGCTGCATAATCCTGTACAGCTCCTCTCCCAACATTACACCTAAGAAACCATTGTTTCCTGTGTGTCTTGTGGAGACCTGCGAATTTCTTGTGCATAAAAATTCAGGTCTCTGCAGATGGTATGAACGAACCCTTAATAAATGTGCCACTATAAAGTTCATTATGACCTGCAAGAATTGTGTGAAAAGAGACATCGCATTGTGCCAAGACATGCCATTAGCTTGTAAATCTGCTCCCAAAGCTGCTCCAGGAGTCTCTGAACTATATTAATATAATTGTATATATTTCTTAGAAAATATACTGGATAAAGCACAATTTATATCAACTGGGAAAGTAACTTCCAATAAAAATGGTAAGGAGAGGAATGGGGAGAGGGAAAGGAAAGTAGACATTTTATGACATAAAAAGGAAATGGATCATTGGGGTTCATGGAAGGAACAGACCCCATTGAAGGAGCAGGAATCTTTGAGCTGGTTGCATATAGAAAGTGAAAAGCTTAAGCAATATATTTTACAAGTTTCTATATGGAACCATGTCAATATTATACTGCTACCTATCTATTACTAAAATTCATGTTTAAGCATTTTAAGTAAACTAACATGTGCACTGTTATTTTAATTTACATTGATAACACTAAAATTGGTTGTTCTTTTTCCAACTAGTTGTCACCCAAAAAAACTTGGGAAGGTTTTATCGGTGGATTCTTCCTAACCATAATATTTGGATTTATTGTAAGTAGCTGTTTTTCTTTTTTTCTTTCCTACCAAAGCTATGTGCCAAAGGCAGATTTTTGTTGCTCCGCTAATTTACCTCTAGCAAACCAAAACCACTTAAAGGACAAATCTTGTGAAACCTTTTTGTTTAACTTAACCAACATATGTTCTATTTTCATCCTTCATCGCTATTTTTTTTTTTTTTTTTTTAGATAATGTGTACTGTATACAATTTTACAGCAAATTTATGTTTGGTTTTATCGCTGACAGTAACAAGTTGACAAGTATGTTTTTTTTAGAGGGTTGTTAACCGTAGTTTGACACCTTTAGGCATTATTGTTATTTTATTGAAATATGGTAATGAACAATGAGCTGCCATTGTTGGCAATATTATGTAATATAAATATTGTGTGACAGTTAATAAAATTAAGATCATAAGGAGTAACATTGTCATTGAGATCCCACTGTTGGCATAATCAGTGTTCAGTAGAGTTCTTTAAGTGCTATTTCAATTTTAATTAATGTTACTAGAGCCGCAGAATAAAGGGTTCTGTTTGAATGGTTGCAGAACTCAAAGTGAATGTCACCTGTTGCTTCTCCCCATCCATTGCAAGCATTTGATCGTTGGATGAGCTGAATACTTTCTTGCCCAGAGGTCCATTGTGGTTTTTCATCCCGGCTCATACCTCACTGCAGGACAAACAGAAGGGGTGGTGGGCTGGGGTGAGTTTCTTCCGCGGCATTGAATGCAGAGGCTTGTAGAGCACAGGAGAGTACATCCTGTGTACTCATTCCCCACACAGGATCCTGATGGGTCAGTTAGCAACCGTTTTGGTTGTTTTTAGTTAAGGTCAGCAAACCCTGGCAAAATCATAGTTTATTTGGAAAATGAGTAAACATTAACTGTATACTGCGGATTTAATAAGTGTGCTGGGCTTATTTTAATATTTATTTTTCAAACAAAGGAGCAGTTGTTATTTAAAGTGGAACTTGGGGCACAATAAAATTAAATACACTATAATGCCAAAAGTATTGGGACGCCTACCTTTACATGCACATAAGCTTTAATGGCATCCCAGTCTTAGTCCATAGAGTTCATTATTGAGTTAGCCCACCATTTGTAGCTATAACAGCTTCAACTCTTCTGGGAAGGCTGTCCACAAGGTTTAGGAGTGTGTTTATGGGAATGTTTGACCATTCTTCCAGAATCGCATTTGTGAGGTCAGGCACTGATGTCAGATGAGAAGGCCTGGCTTGCAGTCTCCACTCTAATTCATCCCAAAGGTGTTCTATTGGGTTGAGGTCAGGACTCTGTGCAGGCCAGTCAAGTTCCTCCACCCCAAACTAGCTCATCCATGTCTTTATGGACCTTGCTTTGTACACTGGTGTGCAGTCATGTTGGAACAGGAAGGGGCCACTTCCAAACTGTTCCCACAAAGTTGGGAGCATAAAATTATTCAGAATGTCTTGGTATGCTGACGCCTTAAGAGTTCCCTTCACTGGAACTAGTGGGCCAAGCCCAACCCCTGAAACACAACCCCACACCATAATCCCTCCTCCACCAAACTTTTCACTTGGCACAATGCAATTAGGCAAGAACCGTTCTCCTGGCAACCCCCAAACCGAGACATGTCCATCGGATTGCCAGACAGAGAAGTGTGATTGGTCACTCCAGAGAACAAATCTCCACTACTCTAGAGTCCAGTGGTGGTGTGCGTTACACCACTGTATCTGATGATTTGCATTGCACTTGGTGATGTAAGGCTTGGATGCAGCTGGTTGGCCATGGAAACCCATTCCATAAAGCTCTCTATGCAATGCTGTTGTGCAAATCTGAAGGCCACACAAAGTTTGGAGGTATTTAGCTATTGACTCTGCAGACAGTTGGTGACTTCTGCGCACTGTACGCTTCAGCATGTTCCGACCCCGCTCTGTCATTTTACGTGGCCTACCACTTCGTGGCGGAGTTGCTGTTGTTCCCAGTTGCTTCCACTTTGTTATAATACTGCTAACAGTTGACCGTAGAATATTTAGTAGCAAGGATATTTCACATTTCATGGATGGACTTATTGCACAAGTGGTAACCTATCACGGTACCACGCTTGAATTCACTGAGCTCCTGACAGCGACCCATTCTTTCACAAATGTTTGTAGAAGCAGTCTGCATGCCTAGGTGCTTGATTTTATACACCATTGGCCATGGAGGTGATTGGAACACCTGAATCCAATGATTTTGAGGGGTGTCCGAATACTTTATGGCAATATAGTGTATATGATGCAGTCCATCACCCTCTGTAACACAGTAGTTTTTATTTTTCTGAGCCTTCCCTAGCTCTGGCTCCTTCCCTGGATGCATATGTATCTCGATCTGGCTTCTTTGCACTGCAATACATATACAGTCGATCCACATAGACCTCCCTGGGGATGTCTACCTAGTGGTCACACTTTTCCAATTGTCAAATAATTTATACAGTTTACATGTTTTTCATATACAGTCGATCCACATAGACCTCCCTGGGGATGTCTACCTAGTGGTCACACTTTTCCAATTGTCAAATAATTTATACAGTTTACATGTTTTTACTAACTGTAATTGCTGCATTTTTTTGCTTTGCAGTTTTCCTACATCTTATCACAGTTCCAGTACTTTGTGTGCCCTGTGGAATACAACAGTGAATCGAACAGCTTCTCTAACAGCTGTGAACCATCTGAGATCTTCAAGATACATAACTATGCTGTACCTTCATTTCTGCAGTCATTGCTGGGATGGGTAGGTATTCTGTGGTTTCAAACAAGCAGAAACAAAATAGAAAACATGAAGAAACAAAGGCGTACTTTGCAATACATTTCCTCACTATAGTGTCATGTTCATTAAATCTAGTTTAGTGAGTTTGACTCTTTTAGGTGACATAATCATTATTACTGTGTTATATAAATAGACCTTTCCACTCATTTGTAGGAGGATTTTCAGAAGCCTCTGAACTTATTCAATATGCCTTAGTAAACACTTCCACCCTCTTTTTTCATATTAGTGTTTACAGAATAAGCATGTCATTACAGGTAGCCCCAGATTCGCTGCTTCCATAGGTGTCGGGTAGTCTCATTGTTAAGAACTTATTCAGTATTACATAGTATTACAAGATTATAGTATTGAATAGTAAGTATTCAGTATGTGGATGTAAGTGATTGCAGGCAAAATGTCTAATGAAATGTGCCTGACCCATAGTGGCTTATTTAAAACTTGTCTAAACCCAAAAACAAAAATGTAATATATTGCACCTTACCAGTTCTTAGATCTAGATGTAGGCTGCGTTTGTTTTTTCTTTTTAATTTTTCCCCCCTATAATTTAAAATGGTAATCCCGCAAACAACACTTTTTGTCCCTAGATGGCTATGCTCACTTCTTCACTATACCTATAGTTGGTTGTCAACAGGCTAGACTTCTAAAATTGTAACAAATCCATCCAGCACCACCCCTTTTTGTTTCTTTTGTTGAGAGTGCATGGCTAACAAAGACACGATCAACAGCAATTAGTAGGGAGAGCTAGCACTCAAGTCTGTCAGCCTTAGAATTCTAATTAGGTCATTTACAAATATTCAGAGTTAGCCCTGGTTCACTCTGCTGCAACCTCTCATGCAACTTGCTGCAATGTGCGACACAAAGTGGTAAGACAAGTCAAAACACATTCATTTTAATGGGTGTCGTCATAATTGCTGCAACTCATGTCGCAGCGACAAAAAAATAGTTCTTGCACTACTTTTCTGTGTCTTCCTTGCGACATGAGTGCCATAGACTGCAATGTTAAAATCACAAAAGTCGCAAGAAAGTTGTTTCTTTGTCTTATATTTGTAGCTTTGGCTGCAACTTCAGAGGGTTTTGAAAGTTCAATATGTGCTACACTCCCATGAACGTCACATGAACGTTGCATTGAAGTTGAAATGCAAAGTTGCACTGGAAGTCACATGACTTTAGGGTCGCAGCAGTGAGATCCAAACCTAACCACACAATGACATTTCAGGGCCACCCTTTCTCAAGGTGACAGACAGCAATGAGTGAAATAAAGCACATGCATATACAATATACACTTTCTATTAGGGAAAGTTCACCTTACCTGTGCAGACACAACCCCAAGAGTCACATACCTCAAGATATAACAAGCCAGACTGTGAATAACCTTAGTGCAGTCCAATACAATCTAACATGAAATACATTCAGAAGAGCCTTGTGGGCTTAATGCTGGTAAGTGTGGCTCTGTATGGACAACATGCGTTCCGAAAACCGGAGCCAGAAGTCCTCACTAGGCACCATCCAGTCATGTGATCCTGTAATCTTTCCTTATCGTTTGATGTCTTTAGCAGCAACAGCATATGGAAATAGTTGTTGAATTATTAATGTCTGTCTTCTAGAAAACAGTCCCAGATTTATCCATTCCAGTTTCATAGTATTGCGCTCTCCACATTTGGATCATTGATTGGACCATTTGGAGGATTCTTTGCCAGTGGCTTTAAGAGAGCTTTTAAAATTAAGGTAAGCCCTGTGCTGCCAATGTTGTTAACATGGAAATGTCATTAATATTAGACAGATTTTTTAAAAAAACCTCTTCAGTAATATCTAAACAACTGGGTAATATTATTTCTTTCTTCAGCTTTCCTTATTTTTAGGTGATAATAGACTGCCATGTACATAAACAAGCATTAGTATCATTGTATTAATAAAGTGTAGCATTTTATAAAACTGTCATTCTCTGTGCTTGTGTCAACAGACTTTGGGCATGTTTTTTTTTTTTTCCCCATTTTTTTTTTTTTCCAAACACAATTTTATTGAGAAAAGAAACAGAGTAATAAAAGGAACAATTTACATTATGAACATGCAGTGTACATACAAATGCAAATGCCCCCTTTCGGGGCGAACATCCATAAAATATACAAAATCTCAACATGTATCAATAAATGCAACTGGTATCAATAGGAGACACTGATTAATGAAGCGCCATACCTTCTCACCCACAGTGGCTTGCATAACAGGGGAGTCATGACGTACTCCATCAGCAACTAAAGTCAGTCACTTATAGCTGTGTGTGGTGGCCGAGTGGTAGCGTAGTTTTGTCAAGCCGTGTCTACCAGTAGGGTGGAAGCACGTGACATGTTGTACATGAGAGTACTCGGTTAGTCAGGTAGTACTGAGAAATTAACCATTCCCAATGATCAAGATTCAGCATTTGTCCATGTATTATCCAAGGGAAGGGTAGGAAGAGGATGTAGAATGGGCAGGAAAGTGAAAGGAAGAGCAAGGGGAGAATGAGAGGAAAAAAAAGAAAGAGGTGAGCAAAACAAATTCTTTGGGCTTGACATTCATTTGAAATGCTTCTGAGAACATTCAGAATTTATTGACCATTGCAATTCAGCTGCAGTTGACCTCCTGACCATCCTTTTGATCTGCATCAAGTAGGTTTTGCAATCCTAAGGACTTGTATGGGGATACAAAACCTGCTTGAGGCAAAAAAAAGATAATTGACACAAGCTTCTGGCTGATTCAGGTTTGAGCCAAGGGGCTGACCTAGCTCATTTTCAGTTTGCATGAGAAAGGATTCCTTCTTTTGGTAGTTTCTTGTGGAACATACAGTATAGTTCTTAAACCTATTCTGAACTAGCTTTAGAACCACATCACCCCTACCCCTTTCACAATAAATTAATAATCTCAGCTATAGTTTGAAGCACTCTGGATGACTATACTTTTTTCTTGGTGTTTGTTGGCTTCAGCACACATCTGTTCAGGTGCTTTGCATTGATGTACGTTGTCATTTATACTAGTGTTGTGTTGCGTTTTAAAAAACTCCATTGGATTCAACTGGTGAAAGGCTATTGGGATACCAATGACTACTGTTGAAATGGAGTTTTTTTCCATAACATGGAGTGGTCATTATCATAAATAACGGATTTTTATTTTGCACTCTTCACCATAGGAAAGAGGTTGCACTTCACTAATATATGTTACTTTTACAGGATTTTGCTGACACCATTCCCGGACATGGTGGAATTATGGATCGCTTTGACTGTCAGTACCTGATGGCAACCTTTGTACATGTTTACATTGCCAGTTTTATAAGGTAGTTTATTGCTATAGCAAATTTTCCCTATACCCAGCCCTTGCTTTGTACAAAGATATGTAGTTGCTAATTGTGATTATACAGTTAGGTCCATACATATTTGGACACAGGCACAGTTTTAGTTTTTTTTCAGGTATTTACCAAAACATATTCAAGCTATAGTTATATAATGGATATGGGCAGAGAGTGCACACTCAGGTTTAATTTGAGGATATGTACATCCAAATTGGAGGAAGGGTTTAGGAATTACAACTCTTAAGAGTAGCCATCCCCCTTTTTTCAAGGGACCAAAAGTAATTGGACAATTGAATCAAAAGCTGTTTCATGGCCAGGTGTGGGCTACTCCTTCGTTACTTCTTTATCAATTAAGCAGGTAAAAGGTCTGGAGTTGATTCTGAGTGTGGTATATGCATTTGGAATCCATTGCTGTGAACCTACATCATGCGTTCAAAGAGAGATAGCAGCAACATTAGGAGTGGCCAAATCAACAGTTTGGTACGTTCTGAGGAAAGAAGAACACACTGGTGAGCTCAGCAATATAAAAAGGCATGGGCGCCCATGGAAGACAACAGTGGTGGATGATCGCAGGATCCTCTCTATGGTAAATAAAAACCCATTCACAACATCCAGACAAGTGAAGGACACTCTCCAGGAGGTGGGCGTATCATTGTCAAAGTCTACAATTAAGCGAAGACTTCACGAGAGCAAATACAGAGGGTTCACCACATGGTGCAAACTAATCATAAGCCTGAAGAATATAACAGCCAGATTAGACTTTGCCAAAAAACATCTAAAAAAGTCAGACCAGTTCTGGAAAAGCATTCTTTGGACGGATGAAACTAAGATTAATCTGTACCAGAATGACGGGAAGATAAAATGTAGAGAAGGCTTGGAACAGCTCATGATCCAAAGCACAAAACATCATCTGTAAAACATGGTGGAGGCATTGTGATGGCATGGGCATGCATGGCTTCCAGTGGTGTTTATTGATGATGTGACAGAAGACAGAGTCGGATGAATTCTGCAGTGTTTAGAGATATACTGTCAGCCCAGATTCAGCCAAATGCAGCAAAGTTGATTGGACGACGCTTCACAATACAGATGGACAATGATCCAAAACACACTGCAAAAGCAACCCAGGAGCTTTTGAAGGAAAAGTGGAATATTCTGCAATGGCTGAGTCAGTCCCCTGATCTCAACCCAATTGAGCATGCATTTCACTTGCAGAAGACAAAACTAAAGGCAGAAAGACCCACAAACAAAGAACAGCTGAAGACAGCTGCAGTTAGAACCTGGCAAAGCATCAGAAAGGAGGAAACCCAGTCTTTGGTAATGTCCATGGGTTCCAGACTTCAGGCAGTCATTGACAGTAAAGGATTCTCAACAAAATATTAAAAATGAACATTTTATTTATGATTATATTCATTTGTCCAATTACATTTGAGTCCCTGAAAATGGAGGGATTGTGTATAAAAAAATAAATTGTGCCTGGCTTCAAATATATATGGACTTAACTGTAAATTGTGTTGGTTAGATACAAAAAGATTATAAAACACAAAAGCATTGGCTAACATCATATAATGCTCTGTAATGTGTACATTATAAATTAAATTATCTATAGGTTAGAAGTATTTGGCTGCTAATCCCTGAAGTAATTTAGTCCCTAATGTCATCCCTTAACACCTAAACTCCAGTGGAACTGGAGGTCCCCAGTATGAGAAACCCTTTCTTTGAGTTTTGGACAGAATGGATAGGGATTAGACAACCTGTCAGGTTTTTATTGCGGTCTATGCACCCATTTTGGAGATTCATCCTCTTTATTTGTCCTGTTTACCATTATCATTGAAAGTGAAAGTAAAAGAAAATCCCACATTTTGGGTTGTCCCCATAAAAGTAATAGGGGGGACATCTTCCAATGGGGACACTGGTTCTGGTTACCTAGGGGTCCCCAAGGGATTGCTTTAATTTATAGGGATTTCCTCTCACTTCCTGTTTTGGCTCTGGGAGAGGAAGTGGGGCACAGATGGCAAAAAAACAATTGACAAGGGTTATAACCCTCCATTACCAAACTGAAGTTTTGCCTATAGTTCTACTTTAAAAAAATAGCACATTTAAACCTCTGCTGCAGTGAAAATGTGTTTTGCATTGGATAATGCAAGGAAGGGTTGCAGCCTCTGCCAAGTTTTTATTGCTGGGGGCACATACAAAACAGATTTTTAAGAAAGTGAGGAAGGGTTACAGAGAAAAAATTACACTGAGTATAGATCATTTTACAGGATTCTGTCTAGGGCCAGAAAGCACCAGTGCTGACATATATGGGGAGAAGCAGTAGTGATGAGACAAAAGTATTCCCCAACAAACAGTTGACCCAGGAGTCATATTCCATAGGGAATCCTGCACAAGCCGAAACATCATAACTCTTTAAAAAAGAGAAAATATTTCTAGAAGTAAATTTGTTTGCTGGTGACATATGTTGCAGAACTCAACTAGATTAAAGAGTGGCTTTTGATCTGCATATCCAGTAGGTATGATATTGTCTTGGCAGGCAGTGTGAGATTAATAACATTGATGGTACAGACTGTGTATGTGGAAGACAGCATGTAATGAAACATAGTAGTAGAGTAGCGTGAAGATGGCTGGTGGCAAGTGCAAAAGGTGATAGAATGACTTAATCAAGAACTGTGTGGAGTGCAGTGCATAGACGTTAAGATGATATGTGTCAATAACCTATAACAGAGCTCAAAATGTCAAGTCCTGAGCTACTAGCCAGGCCTTGAGAGTTACTCACCACCAATTGCCCCACTCAACCCCTTCCCTGCCCTGTCCCTAATTCTGCCCCTAAACACACCCTCTTAAATTCTCTCATTAAATTACACTGTAAATGTTTTATGCAGAATAAAGTTACAAAAATAATTATTAAATTAAACACCCATCACATCACCCTTTTACATCAGGTGTCCCCATGAGATTCCCCCTTTACATCAGGTGTCCCCATGAGGTTCCCCCTTTACACCAGGTGTCCCATTAGATTCCCCTTTACATCAGGTGTCCCCATTAGAATCCTCCTTTACACAGGTGTCCCCGTCAGAATCCTCCTTTACATCAGGTGTCTCCATCAGATTCCCCTTTACATCAGGTATCCCCATCAGAGTCCCATTCTCTGGTGCCGCCATCTGCGCCAGTGTGCTGTGGAAAATAGGATGACTATACTGTGCTAATCCGTGCCACCCACAGATAAAACATTGTCGGTGAGTGGGGGAAGGAAAAAGCACTAGAGGAATGTTGGCAGAACAAGGCAAGGATTGTTCTCCGGAAAAAGTGCATTTTACCTCCCCTCATATCATGGCTCCAGCCCAGGACACACTCGCCCCCACATTATTTCCACTCGCCAAATGCGAGCAGGCAAGTGGAAATTTTGAGCCCTGACCTATAAGATGGCAAGATGCACAGCGAGTGGTGATAACCCCAGGGCAAGCCTGTATAGTGACAGCTAGTACAGTTACCATAGTGCTGTATCCATATAGGTAGATGGTACCTGGGTAAACCTATACCAGTACAATTGGTAGTCGGACATTGTTAATTTTGGATACTACTACCTGACCTACAATATCCTGGGAAGGAATAATCATGAAACATGCTAGTCTATATGAAAGAAAAGGGTGATAGTGGATTGCCAGGTTAAAACCATTCCCTCATTTGCTATTTATTATTTGAATGCAAGTACAGTTTAAGTCTCTGTTTGATCGCCCTTACTTAACATAATCTTTGTCCTAAATGTATAAGTATACTTAATTTACAGAATCTGTTTTCTTTCTCCATCTGTAGAGGTCCCAATCCGAGCAAAGTCTTGCAACAGCTTCTCGTGCTACAACCCGAACAACAACTAAGCATCTACAAAGTGTTTAAGGCACATTTAATTGAGAAAGGAGTAATTCCAGCATCAGTTTCTGATCTGTAATCTAAATCTATGTCAGATACCAAAACTAAACCGCACCAGACTTATTGCACTGATTGAAGAGCTTTCAACCAAAGACTCTACCTTTTCCTCTACCTGGATAGATTCAGACTCTACAACAAAGGCACAAAGCTGCCTTATTTTCCATACATAGAAACAGATGGGGAAAATTGCTAAGTGAAGATCTGATGGTTGAAATGGGATCTTTCCAGACCAACGTATAGATACGTATTAGCCCAGTAGGTTTTAATTGTTCATTTGTATACTGAAAAACTGGATCAGTCATTACTTGGGCAGTTCTACATCTATTACAGCATAAACGTTGTAAAGTACATCATTCTTCTGTTGAGTAAAAGGATCCAGGCCTCCCATTTATTTCTACAGCTTTTATAGAATAGATTTTATGAGTTGTAAGCATTAAATGAGCACCTGAAAATAGGATATTTTTTTTTACACTTTCTTCTAAACAAATACATTTTGAAATTACACTTTCTAGTGAGATGCACGGTAGACAAGATAACCGTTTACTGTCCAGTCTATGAGCAGTGAAGTGGTTACTGTATAGTATGTGGTTGTTAGATGATGTGATGGATATTTACATTTTGCAGTAATCATTAGAGGAGGGCATAAATTAAATGTCCATAGGGATAAATTAGGGATAAGGATTGCAATACATTGTTGGAATAAATTCAACATAATATTTTAAAAGGAATACTAAATTTTTTTTTTTTAGAAAAAAAAAAAACTAATTGGAGGAAAAAAGTTGTCTACATGACCTTCTATAATTAGTCATTGTCCACCTCCCATACAAGTAAACTAACTTTTGGAATCTGGTAGCTGTGGCAATATAGACACTTCCATTGTATTGTCTGTTGACCTTACTGATGCTATACATATGGCCTGTCTCATATCCTTTTTTTGAGGTTTATAGCACAACGAAAAGATGATTACATCAACATTATGTGTGGCACTTTAGGCCCCTTTTACACAGGCTTTCTGTTTGTCGTTTTTTTCATCCATCAGTTGATGGATGACAAACTTACATCTATGTATCTCTAAGGGTAACCGGATGATCATCCATTTATATCCGCTTCCGTTAACATCTGTGTTTTTGAAACGGAAGAAAGCCATATTATTCTTCTGTTAAAAAAAAAACTGAAGCGCACCTTTTTTGGCGATGACTCACCAGCTGTCAGTGGGGTTCTCTCTGACAGCTGAATGTAAAAACAATTGCCGGCAATAAAAATGGTGAAAAAAAAACATCCCTCCCCACCTGTCGGTTGTAAGGACGCGGCTACCGGCTTGCTGACCCACTCCTTAGCAACCAGCTATTCTTCAGATTAGAATTCTAATTGTTCCAAAAAGTAGAAATTCATCAGAAAGTGGATGTACACAACGAATGTAAAAACTGAAGTCCGGATCTGATTTTCTAACGAACAAAACGTGAGTGAGTGGATGAAGAAAACGGAACGGCCGTGTGAAAGGACCCTTAGGCAGCTGTTGTATTTTTCCTGCAACAGATATTTCTTTTTATATAAGCACAAATCTAAACTAAAGTATTGTATTCTAACACACTGTGGTAGATTATAGGGATTGCCATTATTGATGACGATTTTAGGAGTAAACTGGGAAACAGTCACCTGTTGACGTAATGCCCAAAGCAAGTTTTTTTGGGGGATGGCATAATATAATGTATTTGGACAGTGACAAACAAAAGCTGTTGGCCAGCCAGGTATAACCCCTTTTGGCATGCTTCAATTTATGGCTTGTGACCGCAGAGCATGGACATTGTTTCACTACTGAGAACAGTTTAACTAGCCACTTCTGTTTATTTATTTTTTTCTTCAATCAAGACTTTATGTACTTGCTGCTCTGCTGGGTTCTCTATGCAGTTATCTGGTTTAGCGTATCCTCAGCAATAGCTTTAGAGGCCATACCGGGATTGCTCTGGTCTGAAGATTATGGGATCTGCCTGGAAAGTGACCTTCTGGCACTGAGCTTTGATTGTGGTGCTTTCCAGACCTTTATGTACTGTGTTAGTTAACTGCTTTTTCCAGGTCCATAGTCGTGGCAGTCTCTGGTGTGACCCATTTTCTAAAGACTTTTTAATGAATATGCTGCATGGGCCCAGCATCAGGGTTTACTACACTTTTTGATGCCATTGAGCTCCATTATTACCCCTTTTTCTGTTAATTTCCTAGCATTTTAACCCTGGAAAGCAAGTGCTGCATCACTAGCTGAACTGTTGCACGTGTGCGCTTGATGCTCTGTTCCCACCTCTTCAGCATGCGTTACCACTTTCCCACCATTGCTGCTGTTTGCAGGAAGTATAGTTTCACCTCAGTTAGACTTTGCTGTCACCAAGTCACCTTCGACCATTCGAAACTCTCCTGCTTTCAGCAGTTAGTTTGTGAGTACCTACAGTTTTCACTGGTGTTGCCAAATATGCTGTCCTTTTTTAGCTGTACAACATGTCTGATCCCCATGTCTGATGTACCTGCAGTTGTAGCAGCCTCTGGCCCTTTTGCTGTGGAGGTTCTGTCTGATGAGGAATCTCACAAATCCTTAGTAAACTTTGTTCCAGAGGAGGTACCGGCAGTTGCCATAGGTCTCATAGTTGCCATATTGGTTCTTAAAAATAGAATAACCTGTATCTTTTGCTAGTACTGTTACTAGATTCATGAGAGGCCCCAAGACTAATTAATAAATAATTTCCAATACACTCCTTACTTCCATATCTTGGTGTACAGTCCTTCCTTCCCTTAGTTTACTCTGCATTGCCTGCTACAAAACTCTGGGCGGTAGGATTATAGGGAAGGCACCCAGTGGGCATGTCCTTAAACGCTTGCCAGTGTCCAATCACCTGTTTATATGCAATTTGATGCAGGCACTGTTTGAGTATTCTTCCAGCTGGTGGTACCAGATGTCACAATACAATAGATGCAGCAGGAGATTAGTCTATCCGTGCTCTTTAGTATGGAATTCCTTAACTTCAGCCCTCAAGCTGAACAAAAGAAATCAATCAATCAGTATATAGTGTATAAGGTTGCAGCTGCCTGTTGGACAGGCTAAAGCCAATAATTGTTTACCCTTGGCTAGTCAATTGTGACTTTAATAAATTTCTGAGAGAATTCAAGTTTTTGACAGTTAGTGAGCAAACAAACTTGTGTTACAGATGGCAGTAGCTACACTAAAGGTGCCTGCAGATATGAAGGAACGTTCACCTAATTCAGCCTTTTACTAAATGGAATGGTCAAAGGTTTTTAGGCTTCCTCTGAGGTCTCCTACTTTTTTCCCCTGGGGAAAACAAAGGCTATTATTTTCTGGTAAGAGATTGACCTCTTCAGAGCCTCCCTTCTCTCTTCATAGCCACAGACATACAAGTTCACTTGATGAAAAATTGCATGTTTACTCGACAATCGTTAGTACAAACCAGTTGCCAACTGAAGTCTGTACCCAACGCTAATGTAAAAATATGTCAATAACTGTTATCAGTTAAGTTATATTTAATTGTTTACCTGACCTAATGGACCCATGTTATGAAAGGATGGCTTTGGCTGCCATAGACCTCTTGAAAATGGTAGTTGTCTGGCTGTTTCTGACTAAAAGACCTAGACGAGGAACTTCCAACATTCTGACTTCCAGGAAGTTTTCAAGTTACTGAATCAGCATGACAGCCTGGTAACTAGCAGGTTTAGGAAGTGAGCAAGAATTGCAGCCCCTGCATATCTTTAAGGACAGGTTTATTTTAATATTAATGTACGGCAGGAGCCTCTTGGGGCAAGCATGGTAATGGTTGAGGACCAAAAATCCATGGGCAAGCTATACATAGAACTATTGTTTTTAAAAGCAGGATAACCTAAATGAAACTGATAAAATGTATGTTTTAGTTGAAATTCTTTGTAGTTTGAAAAGGAACCATAGATGGCTGCTAGACGGGAAGCTAAAAAAAAAAAATCTGTCATCTGCTGCTGTATATATACGCTTGTAAGAATTTTTAAAAAAATTCTGACATTTAGGCCTCTAGCACAGATCTGAACACAGGCGCATTGTTGTCTATGGAACAATGCACACAGCTGCATAAAGACCAGTAATACAGCAAGGAGTACAGAGCCATAAACTAAAAACAGAACAATTTACATTTGAGTGCAGTAATTTACGCATATATATCCCATATATATCCCAACACTGGCACTTAGAAGAGGATGAAGAAGAATTCAACGCATATATACGCATACGCACATTTATGTGCATATACGCAAGGTCTTTTACTCAGGATCTTGTTAACAGAAAGATCCTGAGTAAAATGTTGCATAAACATCAGTGAATGATGACGTCCATGTGCAAGCGGCCTAATGCACAAGTAAAAAACAATCTATACAGTGTAGGAAATGCAGATGACCTAAGTAATAAAGTTCCCATTCTGTGCAGTTTTTAAAAAGCACTTATGCTCTACATTAACACGCTGACTTTTCTACTGCACTCCTGTATGAAACCTGTACATACGCTGCTATTTCTGACCCTCTTCTAAAAATATTGTTTTTCAGTTCTTTCAGTCATGGTCTCAGAGCAAGTGGAGTCCTAACTCCTGAACAATGTACTTGTTCCTCGTCAGTGGCTCAGGCCCCATTTACATTTTTGTTTAAGTGCAAACACATAACCACATGTTGTGTTAAGGCAACCCATTCATTAGAATAGGACAGCTACCGCAACAAGATGCACCAAAAAAGGTACATGCATCATTACACTGCTAAGCATTAAGCACATTCATTGGTAAGGTGTGTTGGGGTGCCTTTAGGAAATGCAGGCATTACAACGCACCAACAATCATAATGTGTAAATTTGGCCTTAAATTACTGAAGGGTGATTAGTAGACAGGCCTGGCAATAGGCAAAGGCAGCACTGGAAGACTGCATATATCTCTCCGCACAGGTTTCCTTTAAATAGTCGCTTTATTCTAATTACTGAACCAAATCACACTAATTTCTCCTGGTGGATATCCA